AGGAGAAGGAGAAGGAGAAGGAGAAGGAGAAGGAGAAGGAGAAGGAGAAGGAGAAGGAGAAGGAGAATGAATGTGCTGGTGGGCTTGGTAGGCTTCTTTTGCTCTTGTTGCATCTGGGCTCTGGCCTATTGAATGGCACCATCCATGTTCAGGGCAGCTCCCCCCTCAGTTTGTGGTCCCACATGCCAACCATCTCTGGAAACACCCTCACATACACACCCAGCAACGTGCCTCACTAATGTCCTGGGAATTTCTTAATCCAATCAAGTTGACACTCAAGATTAACCATCACAACTTCCTTGCTTTTTTGGCACTGCAAGATGCTCCAGGGTCTTGTATAAGAGGTGATCAAAATGTACTGTGAAAGTTTAAATTAAAAAATTAATTACAGTAAAAGGCACACTGCCAGTAATCCTCCTCCAAGTCCTCCCCCTCCCTTCACACACTAATCCCATTGTTCTTGCCACTTTCTGCAGCCACCTGAAAGTCTTCTTTTTCAGTGTCTTTTGAGTGACAGCTGCCGCCAGGTGTCATTCAAAGGAAAGGCAGGTTTATAAGAACATTGCGCTGTGTCCTCTTGAACCTTATTCACTGGATCTGCCACACTATGACTTCTGGCTCCTCCCCAAAGTCACAATGACTGTGAAAGGTAAACATTCTGAATTAATTCAAGGTTCAGTATAATACAAGAGCACAATTAAAGATGCCTGCAAGGGGACTTTCAGAATTACTCCAGAAAGTGGCAAAAACGATAGGTTATGTGTGTTCACAGTGAGGGAGATTCATGGCAATGTGTCTTTTGCTGCAATAAACTTTGAAAAAATTAAACATTCACTGTATATTTTGATCATGCTTCATATATTCCTTGCTCAGGTCGATAATCAGCCATTTCTCCAAGGATCTCTGGCTCCTTTTATTGTAGAATGATGTTAGAAACCAACATGTAGGCATGAGATATACTTCTGGGGTGTCATTGCTGGTGGGACCTCTGAGCTGACAGAGCAAAGGATATATCTATATACACTGACCTGTGTATAGACATGTACCTGGTAATATTTCTATGTGTATTCATCTGCGTCTATATTAAGCTAAGCATGCATTTATACTGATATCTCTAATTTGAATCCATTCCTATATAAGTCATTCCAGCCTTTGCTTCTTTCTTGCCTGTAGTTTACAGTTCTGAGAATGAGAAGCCCAGTGTCCACTGTTTCCCATCTGTTTACTCAGAGATTCACTTCCGGGACACACAAGTACGAGCCTCAGAACTGCTGCCCCCTAACTCTGGGGACAAGGACTTTATCAGCTAGAGGACAGTACAGTGTATACTTCCTTCTGCTCTTAGTCTTATGATTCATTCCATTTCAAAGTTACTTAGGATAACACACTCCCCCACCCCAGACCTTCAGGGAGGTTATTTCACAAATCCATAATACACCTTTGTTACAGTCTTCAGTCTATCCTGGGATTCTTTGACCACCTTAATGATTTTTATATTTTTCATGCATGTAAGTTCCACTCATCTGCTGCATAGTTTTGTGGATTTTGAAAAATGCATAGTGGCATATATTTATCATTCAAGAATCACACAGAATAATCTCACTACTGCAAAAAAATCCCCTATTCTTCATGCACTCAAGTCTATTGCTTTTCTGAATCCCTAGCAACTGCTAATCTGTTCAGCACTCTCAATAGTAGTGCCTTTTCCAAAATATCATAAATGGAATCATACAGCGTGTAGCCTTTTGGACTGGCTCCTCTTACTCAGCAGTATGCATTCAAGATTCATCCACATTTTTGGATGGTTTCATGGTGCATTCCATTTTCTAAGGAGTTTTTTTTTTTTTTTTTTTTTTTTTTGAGCAAAGCAGATGCACTGGCTCTACTCCCAGAGACTCTGACTTAAATATTTGGGACTCGGGCACTGGTGTGGAGAGATCGCTCTTCCTTTGCTGTCTCCTTATCTCAGTCACAAGCACACACTCACACACATGCATACACCATTAGTCCACGTCACTGGCGGATGTGTGAATGGTTTGCGGCAGTGGTTTTCACAGATTTTGTAGCTGTTTGAGGTCCTCCAGGGTGGTGAGAAAGTCTCCAGAAAGCTGGTGCTTAAAAGACGTGGTTACCTTACCAGGGGAAATTTTTTGGTGCACTGGAGACTAGAACATATACAACCGTTCTCTCCCTCTCATGTTCATGAATGAACACAAGAGGCTTTGGGAATTTTCTCAGCGCGTGCCTTCTGGTTTTTGTTGGAACTGAGACTGAAATGCTCCTTCCTGTGCTCATCTTGAACCTTGAGCCTTATGAGTAAGGCAGTTGTCTCACAGAGGGACCCAGTGGAAGAGTTTCAGAAGGTGTCTCTGAATTGCACCACAGAAGCTGGGTTGTGGGCTCTGGAAAGAGGGCAAGCTAGAGCCCATGGGTGAGGGGAAAGGCAAATGGGGTGAGGGTGGGGTGAAGATGACGTCCATGTAGGTTTTGCTCCAGTAAAGGACAAAGAATAGTCCAGAAGTTCACTATGCTCTTACTACCTGCACAAGGTTTCCCACTTCCTCTGTGGCTACTCATGACCTTTAGAGGACAGGAAGCAAAATCCCTGAAACCTGGAGCCCTAGGTTTGTAAACATTTAGAGATGTGCGTGTGCCTGACACTGATTAATATTCCCTATATGTGAATCTGAACTTCCTCTAAACAGAAAGTATGTGTTTTAATTTTAAGAGTGTTGAAGAAAACCTAAAACCATAACTTTTTTTTTGTCTTTTTGAGACAGGGTCTTGCTATGCAGTTCCGGCTGGCCTTGAGCTCATTTTATAGCCCAGGCTGGTCTCGGACTTGCAATGATCCTCCTGCCTCAGCCTCCCAAGGCTTACAGGCATGTGCCACTATGCCCAGCTTACCATAACTATTTGGAATTTAAAAAAGAACACCAGGTACTAAGATATAGTCAAAATACATTTGGCACCTTTTTCAGATCTTCTACTTCTTCAGATGTTCTGGAACGACAGGTAATCTTTACACTAAATATTACCCTGAGCTGTGTGACTAAGACATGCTATGAAGTATCAAGCATGATTTGTGTGAGTGTGTGTGTGTGTGTGTGTGTGTGTGTGTGTGTGTAGACAGATCCAGAGCCTCACACATGCTAGGGACATGATCTACTACTAAGCTCTACTCCAAACCCCTCAAATATGATTTTTATTTGCATCAGGCAGAGTTTCAGACACAAATAAAAGATGTTTTGTTACTGTTGACATTTTATTAATCCTTTAAATGTTGACAACTAGAGTAAGCTTGATATGATGACTCACATAATTAGCATATGTTATCATACAAGATGTCTTATTCTCCAACCGCTCTATATGAAAAATATATTTTCTTTTTTAATTTAAAATTTTTTTTCTGGTACCGGGAATCGAACTCACAACCTCGCACTTGCCAGGCAGGCACTGTACCACTGAGCTATATCCCCAGCCCCTGTATTTTCTAATAAGCTAATGAAGAACATTTTTCGGTGTAAATGGAAGCTAGGGAGAAACTTGGCTGCGTGAACCAAAGTAGGCCCAAAGGAAATGATGCAAATGTAATGAGGTAAATAGGAAGCAGCTTCTCCCATGAAGCCTTGGGCAATACCTTAAATACACTAGATTCATGTTCCTTTTATTTCACTGTATAGTGGCCTCAAGTCATCAATGGCTTAGAAAATGACACTGGCACTTACCCCTATGGTAGAAGCCATGTAATCTGAGCAGATTTCTGCAAAGTCTCTCCCCATCACTCCATAGTAGAGGCCATAGAACAAGGACACAATGCCGAAATCCATGGAATCTTTCGCTTTGATTCTGTTGGAAGCAAGAGTACGGTGGAATGAGAATACGGCGTTTGCAGGTGAGGCAGAGGAGGCTGGAGCTTGGGAAATATTTCCTGCTGTTCTACCTAACAGAGCCTTGTGGTTATGTATTTATTTATTTCTTTGTTTGTTTTTTTAAATGAAAGAATTTTAAATCCTCTAAAGTTCCCTCAAATTATACCACTCAGTTCCAGTGGACAGAGGAACTCTTGAGTGGTGATATGTTCCCAGACCTTCTGTACATGCATGAAGCCTTGGACAATATCGGATCTTAAATACACTGTGTTCATGTCACTTTTATTTCACTTTATAATGGCCTCAAACACAAACTTTTATTATAGTATATTGGTATAACCATTCAAGTGTAGGGTCAGTTATTGTTAACTTCTCATCGTGAACAAATTTATAAATTAAATTTTATCATAAATATTTATGAACAGGTCAACTGCAGTCCGGAGTGATTCGTTGGGAAGGGCAGGTAAGAGGGGTCAAGATGAGCCATGCGTATGTTCCAGTTCCCCATGCTGAGTAGAGTTATTATGTACCACAGATGTATGCTAATAAAAAGAGAGAAGATTAGAGCAATACAGAGCATGCTGAAAAAGAAACGTGCAGTGTCTTTCTACCTCTTAAGTTGGCAATAATAGAACTTTACAATTACTTTCTCTTTTTCTGCTAGGAATGTTAGGCTCCTCCTCTCTCTGGAAATTCCCTGGAATGCTTATAAAATCAGATTGCTATATTGTCATACGACAAACTCACAGCAACACCATGCTGATTCTTTATCCAATTGTTTACCTTATTTTATGAGTCAAAAGTTGCCAGTCTCTGCCAGTTATAGTCCCAAGGATTTGGAGTAACTTCAATGTGAAAAGTATTCTAGGGAGTTTTTATTGGAGCTATTTCCCAGAGCTGGCCCTAAATCCGCTTTCCAGTGCATAGGTCTGGTCCGTGGCCTCAGTTTTGCTTGGGAAAAGCTCATCACAGTGTAACTCAGCAGACACCTGCCTAAGAGGGGTACAGTTCTGAGTCACAGACATGATCGTCCACCCCACTTTCCATTATTTCTCACAAGACTTTCTTGTTGCTATCTGTACTTCTCTTTCAATGGCCAACCACCCAGCTTTCTCATTTTCCAACTATTCCAAACAAGAGGTTTCATGGGTATGAGCAACACAATTCTGGCATATTTCCACGGGACAGCACTGCTGTTCAGTGCAAGCAGAGTCGCAAGTGTACAGCTATGCACTGCATAATGGCATTCCGCTCAATGCTGGTCCTTATATGTGACAGTGGCCCTATAGGATCATGTCACCCAGGAACACATAGCCACCTTTGTGTCAGGACAGCCTGGAAGGGTGACACAATAATAAAGTTGTCTAACAATGTGTTTCTCAGACTCTATCCCCATCATGAAAGGACACAGGACTGTAATTTTAAAATTCAGTGGCTGCATTTAAAAAGTGCACAGAAACAAGTGAAGTGAATCCGATCAATGTATTTAAAGTACTATCATTTCCACATGTAATCAATATAAAATAAGTTTTTCATGTTGTCTTTGAAATCCAATGTCTTTTATACTTATAGTGCATCTTATTTCACATCTCAAGTGCTCAGTAGTCACATGGGCTAGTGGATACTGCACTGGCCTTCACAGTTCTAAACATTTGAGAGAGACGACATGCGAGGGAGGTCTAGACACCAGGACTGTACGGAAAGGAAACGTACAGTTCAGTAACAGTGATGACCTCTACTGCGGGAGGCCCACTTTCAATGGTGATGTTTTAAATCCACACCCCAAGTACAGATCTCTTTAATGCTGTTTAAAAGATGCTTTAATACTCAGTTTTTTAAAAAATTTATTTTGTAGTCCTTAAAGTTCCTAATTTATATATACATAAATTAGGAACTTACTATATATATATAGTAAGGTGCCCTTTTCTTGCCTTTAGTCTAAAATAAGACTGGTTTTCCCTAAGACCATGTGTAAATATCAACTACAAAAATTGTATACATGGAACATAGGGTTAAATGCTTCCAGAAGAGAGAACATGGGTAGGTCAATGTTCCAAGCAATGTCTGAACTGGAAATACTTACTTGAAAAAAAAATTGAATCCACACATTGTAAACATGATAGCCAAGTAACCCACAACACCAAATGCATAGCTGAGCTTGTAGATTAGGAGAAACCATTTGTAGACCAGTCTGTGCAGTAAAAAACAAAGAGAAACACAGGATATGGTATATTAAACAGTACTGTAACTTCTGCAAATATTGTTATAAGCACATCTTTAGTTTATATGTATATATGTGTGTGTATATCTATACCTGCATCTATATCATCTATATCTATCAGTAAAGATCAAGAATAAAACTGGCCTTTGATATAATAATAACAAACAATACATAAATGGGACTGTCACAGCTGAATGCAGTGGTGCATGTCTGTAATCTCAGTTTCTTGGCTGGGTGATTATGAGTTTGAGACCATCTGAGTAACTTAGTGAGACCCTGTCTTAAAATAACAAAGAATAAATTAATTAACTAGGAGTATTATGCTTATGTGCTTCTACATATAATGCAAATTCATTAATTTATTTGTGTCTCCAGCATAAGGAGCTGCCCTTCAGGAATGGTTCCTCTACCTGGAAGGCTACATCCTCCTCCTGACTTGTCATTTGGCCCTAGGGTTAGCTAAGAGTGGTCTTGGCAGGGGTGTTTGCAGGCAAGCAAAAAATGGGCCAAGTCATGAGAGGACACTTCCCTTCCAGTCCTTCCTCTTCCTCCTGCTGTATTGCCCACCACGCCATCCCCAGCCCTTGGGAACATTATCATCAGCCATGGGCCCAGCCCCACCCCCACCTCCTCTTCACCTAGAATTGCCCTAAGTCTGCAGTTCCAGGACCCTTCAGCCCTGTGTTGTTCTCTACAGATGGGTTCCCTGTGTGTCTTCACAGGACCATCTCCCTTCTGCCCACAGGGCCAAAGTGGAGATGAGGGTGGAGGGAGAAGAGAAGAGATGAGCTACAAGGAAACTTTTACCCTGCCTGTTTCCATCTTCATGGAGACAGCCCATTCCTCAGTGGATGGACATTTGGGTTGCTTCCACAATTTAGCAATTACACATTGCACTGCTACAAACATGGGTGCACATATATTGCTGTGATATGATGTCTTCAGATCTTCTGGGAAAATACCAGAAGGGCAATAGGTGGATTGAATGGGACCTCTAGACCTAGTTTTCTGAGGAATCTCCAGACTGGTTTCCACAGTGGTTTCACCAGTCTGCATTCCCACCAGCAGTGGAGAAGAGTTCCTATTTCTCCACAGCCTCGCCAGCATTTGTTATTGGTTAATTTCTTAGTGATAGCCATTATTACCGGGGTAAGGTGGAATCTCAGTGTTGTTTTAATTTGCATTTCTCGAATGACTAACGATGTTGAACATTTTCTCATGTATTTATTTGCCATTTGTATTTCTTTCTCCGAGAAGTGTGTATTCATCTCAGCTGCTCATTTTTGGATGGGGTCTTACTGACAAAGAAAAGCCCAGGCCCTGATAGATTCACAGCAGAATTTTACAAGAAATTCAGAGAAGATTGAATAACAACACTCCTTTGTGGAGACAGTAAAGGCCCTTAGAAACATCACAGCAAGGGCCGCATGACTCCTGTCTGCCTGGAAGGCTGCCGGAAGAGGTTGGGAGTCCAGTTCCAGTCTTGGAGGGCTGCTTTAGAGGTGCTGAGCCCACTGGAGCATGGGCTCAGGGGCTTATCTTAGGCATCCCAAGGCCACAAGGGGTGTCTGGGATGTTGCTCACAGGGTGCCCCGTGGGAGGAGCCTCAAATTGTCCCTTGTCCTATTCCTGCACGTTTTCTTTAAGCCCTTCTCTTTCATCCCAAACCACATTCAGTCTTGCTCTGACAGAGAGACCACTATAGGCAAAGAGGGCAAACTTCTAGGCCCTTAACCTGTTACTCTGAAGCAGGATTTAAGAGAAAAACAAGCTTTCCCAGCCTTGAGCAAAGCCCCTGACAACCGCCCCCCCCCCCGCCATAGTTTTAACTTCTTGTTATGGCACAGTTAAGATTGGCAACTACGTCCTGTAGACAGTTTAGGTCATCCTGTTCTTGCAAGACTCAGAAGGCTCTGTGTCTGTCAAGGCAACGTTATTAATTGCTTTTAATTGCTCTGTCTCGCTTCTGTACCCTCACTTGCTACCCTCTCTCCCCAGTTTCTAAAGACCAACCCCCTTAGCAAAATGTATACAAACTAGAGTCCTTCCTTTGGGGCTTGTTCCACCATTCCGGGCATCGTGAGGACAAACCGAGCCAGTGTGCGCCTAAAACCCAATAAATCCTTCTGTTTCCCCGTTGGTCTTTCTGATGTCTTGGATTGTGTAATATTTCTCATGACCATGAAGGGACTGGAGATGACAGGTTTGCTGTCTCCTTTGCCTGCAGGCCCTAGAGTACCCTGAGCTGTGGGGGCCCTGAACCTCTAGCACCACCTGGTGAAATTTCATCTCAGGAAACTGGCCCTCCTGCAGCCAGGCAACCTCTCCTCTCCAGCACAATGACACATAAAGGGGATTCAGGATGATTCCAGAACAACAGTGCTCTGCAGGACCATGGTAAGATTTCAGAGGGCACACAGGGGAGCCTGTCCTGTTAGGACAGAAGGGGAAACTGATAAACTCCTCGGGTTGTGCTGAATACTTGGGCTCAGGGAGAGCCAGAGGAAACCCATGGCCAAATTCAGTAGAATGCGGGGCTGGCCCTCAGTGGGGGTGACTCGCAGGTGATACTCAAACAGCTTGAGGGACAGGTCTATAGTGAGAGTGACTTACAAAAGGAGTATGCAGAGTAGCCAGATTCAGGGGGAAACCTTCACCCCAAGTCAGAAGAGTAAGGATGGCCCCATGGCAAAAGTAGCTCAGAGGAGAGGCTGGAATGGCCCCCAATGAGTTTGGATAGAAGCAGCATCCAAGTTGAAAAAAAAAAAACCAGGGAGGGCCATGGAGCACCTGGTGTCTGTGGAAAAGGTGGGGCAGAAGCACGGGGAAGTGTTTAGCATTAGTGCACTGGGATATGTAGATGGGATGCTACAGGCAGGCTATTGAGGGAGGAAAAACAAAACAAAGCAAAACAAAATCCTGTAAAGCAGGATGATGGCAGCAATGTGCCTGGGTGGGGACTGGGATAAAAAGAATATCTAAAGAGCTGGGCTGGGATGGAGGCACAGGGCCAAGAGATTTAAACCTAACTGTACCTACCAAGGTTAAAGGGATAAAACAAGGGTTATTTTTTCAGTTAAAAAAACACACACACACAAAGTGGTGTGCTGGGAATGCTCGAGAACCAAGTGTAGAGAACAGGGCCAGCAGCTCTGGGCTATTTGCTCCACGGGGTGAAGTAGAGGAAGATAGGCTGGCCCCAGGATCTGGGTGGCCCTTACTGAGCATCACCAGCCTGATGCTGCCTACAGGTAAGTGCTTTAAAGCCAAAATAGCCCCAACATGGGGTTGAATGGCCGAAATCAAGGAGCTGTGACTGTATTGCTGGGCCTAAGAAGGTTTTGTAGGAGAAATTAAGTTACAAATTTTAGCTAATTGATAAGAATACTTTTGATTTCCAATTTGAGTTGGTGTGCTTAAAATATTTCTTGTGCATTATAAATTCTTGACTTGCAATTATAGGGCTAACTTGCTCTTTTCTTTGCTCTCTGTTGATTTAAGATAAGAACACAGATTCAAAGTTACTCAGATCTTATGCCAGTCAGCCAAATTTACAGTATAAAAATCTCAAAAGGAGGGGGGGAAGACACTTTATAATCCAAGTGGCTGCATCCAAGTTTGTTGTAAAAGATTTATAGTAAATGAGAGGAAAAATATTAAAAGACTATAAGAAATACACTTTTGATATGAGAAGATTTTTTTTTGATATGAGAAGATTTTGTATGACAAAGCTGGAAGGCTTACATATGTGGAGGAAAAGCTTGTAAAAGAAGTTTATCAAAAGAAATATGTATGGTTACTTGTAAGTTTGGTGAAGCTCAGGTTGTTCCTTCTAAAAACTCCTGTGAGGGGAATGATCAAGTTGGCCTATGACAAAAGTGCTTGAAAAAATGATCTGCATCACAACAGAGCAGATAAAGGGAAAAAAAGCATCGAAACCCACCCCCTTAAATTGTACGTTAGAAAACTTTAAAAGAGGCTACACAGGGGACTATCAAATAAAGCTGACGGCCCCCCAGAGGTTCAGAACTCTTTATAAAATAGATTGACCCTCTTTTGCTGTTAAATGGCTGACTGAGGAGACAACTGACAGGGGACAGTTGGGTGTACACATGGGATGGTGACTGGGAGCACGGAACTATCAGGAGCTATTGGGATCAGTTTTCCTACATTGACTCATGAGTAAATACAGTTCAGGCTAGACCCACATGGCTTCAGTCCTGTCTGGCTGCTTATTGGCAAATACTAGAAGGTTTTGCTGGTGTGAATGCGTCCAGCTTTTAGAGGTCCCTACCAAAGTATATGTAAATCGGGATCAGGAAGCTAAACAGAGGCCATAGGAGGCTCAAAACAGAAAGCAGATCTGTTGACAGTAGTGCTTTTGAGGAAAAAGACCAAAGTCACCAAGGGGTGGGGGCACAGATGCAAGCAGAACAAGGACAAAACCAGTCCAAGATCTGCAAAGTGACCAAAGCTAGATTGGGATCAATGTGCAATGTAAGAAACATGGACATTGGAAAAACCAGTGCCCAGAAAATGATGGAGGTGAGGATAAAAGTTACAAAACTAGAAGACTGCCTATAAAAAACTATTACAGTTGCCTTGGGAGGAACCAGATGCTGGACTCACTGGACTGGCCAGAACTAAGTTTTATGAAGATTAGGTGAGACCAGGCTCCATCTCCTTAGGCCCCAAGGAGCACATGATCATGATGAATTCTGGGGAGCTAATTGATGGACTTTATGGTAGACAGTGGAGCAGAGAACCTGACGGTGACACAACCTATTGGCCCTCTATCCAAGAGAAATGTGACTATTACTGGCGTCACGAGGATCCCAGAAAACAGGCCATTTTGCCAGCCAAAAAGGTGTGTCATAGGGGGATGAGGGGATGAGTTTCTATATCTTCCAAATGGCCCTGTGCCCTGCTGGGGTGGGACCTGCTCCAAAAGCTACAGGCCCAGATTACCTCTGGACCACAGGGAGATGTGACTTTAGGCCTGGCTCAACCAAAGGCTGTGATGTAAACCCTTACCATCCCACAAGGACAGGAGTGGAAACCGTATTCATATAAGTCACAAGAACCAGGAATAGGTGAGCTACCTGGGCTGACACATATGATTTCCATGGTGTGGGCCAAAGATAACCCACTGGGCTGGCTGTAAATCTACTACCAATAATATAAAACTAAAAACTTGGGATGACACCAATTCTAGTTCACCAATTTGCCCTCCTCCAAGAAGCCATACTAGGCATTCAAGGACATTTGAAATGGCTCCAAAAACATGGAATCTTAACTAGACGTCAGTCATCTGGGAACACACCTCTTGCTGGTGCACAAACCAGGGAGTTACAAGCATAGACCGGTATAGGACTTGGGTGCTATAAGTCAGACCACTGAGACCACCCATCTCATGATACCAAATCCATACACACTGACGGGCCTCCTTCCAACAAGTCCTGGCTGGTTTACTTGCTTGGACTCACCAGAGCTTTTTTCTGTCTCTGCCTTGCACCAGTCAGTCAGCCATCTTTGCTTTTCAATGGGAGGCTCCCGCTATGGGCATAAAGGAGCAGCCTCACCCGGACTATGACTCCCCAGGAATTTCAGAACTCCCCTCTGATCTTTGGGAAGGTGCCTGACATTCCAAGTGCTCACATAAGCTTTCAGGACTTTAAAGATGTTTTATTTCACTGAGTTCCAATCAGGAGAAACTTGTTGAACCATTATGGTTTAAATGCCGGTTGTGGGGTAGGCTGAGGAAGGAGTTGCCACGGCATCATTTCTATGGTGAAGCACTTTCTCCACTTCAAGAAACGGACGTACAAGGTACTTTCTCCACCTGGGAGTTCTTCTGCCCCATGGGACAAGTGGACAGTGGTGGACTATATGCACCCACACACTCAACTGGCTTTACCATGTGGCTTAAATTGTGATAAGTTTGTGTCTGCTCTAAAAGGGGCCAGGGAGGGCTTTGGGGAGTCTTTTTGCCACTGTGACGCTAAAGTTGCTGGTTCTTTGGATTTGCCTATGTTGAGCAGTTTGGATTACTGCTCAGCACTGCCAGGTCAAAGTGGCAGTTTGTGCTGTTCAAGGGGTCATGATTGGGTAACAGACAACTCCAAGAGGGTCCCCCTACTCAGCCCTCAACACCAGAGTATGGGCTCCTTGGACTCCACACATCCCATGCACACCCTCTCTCTGCCCAGAGGAGCCTCTCTCAAAGGTCTGTCAGAATGAGAACTGCTCGGGACTAACAGTTTTGTGAACTGCAGGGTGGCTTGTGGGAGGAACAGCTCCGCAGTGAGTCATCTTTGTTAGTCCTGGGCTCTGAGGATGGCTGCTTGCCCAGTGGGATCCTGGGTGACTTCCTTGGCATTTCTCTCTCTGATTACTCCATTTCTAAGGTGAGGATGATAGTGCAAGCTCCTGAGGTTGCCCTGAAGATTATGTGATGTCACCTGTTAGAGTTTAAAAGGCCTGGCCTATTAAAGCTCAATACGTTGCATGGCTGTTATAGATGATGTTAGATTTTTCACATTCCAATCTTCCTGCTTTTTGAGGATATCAGTTTCCTGAAACAGCAGAACCCAACTACCCTAAAGCAGGTAAACTGGATAGGAAATTGTGCGACTGCTTCTGGTCAGCCTCCATGACCTTGGCTCGGCTCTTGGTCGACTTTGCGTGGTGCTTTTGAGCCTGAACTTCATTGCTTGGGAGAAAATCTGACTGTAGTAAGCAGAGGAAACTCAGATCCCTGGAATAATGTCCCACAGCAAGGGCCTGGTATGGGTCTGGGGAGGAACAGCAAGTTTTAAACTGCACTGGTGCTGGAGACCACCCTCCCCTCTTGAGTTTGCTTCTGCGCCAGTGCTGATCTGCTTTGCCCAGGTTTTCTACCCTGTAATCAACCAAACCTTCTGCTTCTAAAGGTCCATAAGGATCCTAGGCCTTTTGACCACTCGTATAGAGGAGCTCCTTTATCCTGATGCTTTTCTAGAGACCCTTACTAACGTCCCCACTGCTGTCTCTTCCCATGGTGGCAGGACAAGCACCTGGGGGGCTCTGGGCTCTCTCACTGTACTCAGGGTGCGATGCCGGGCAGGCAGCGGGGAGCTGAAGGGGATTGCTACAGGTGCACAAAGCCAATGGCCTGCCACACTGGCCACGGGAGACAGGCGATCCATGGAGGATAAATGCACGTGGGCATTTCCTCTCCTGCAGCCCCTCTGTAGTGGGGCTGATATGGTCATGAAGACTGCATTCAGCTGTGATGATGAGTTCCATGGTGGGAGAACAAAACATTCTCACTGAAACACAATAGAGTTTATATCCATCGGGTAAAAACAAATACATCTGGATTCACCCACACTGAGTACTTTCACAAGTACTAAATAACAAAAGTTTGTAAGAAGGAGAAAGGGTGACTTGTGTCCATTTCACTGATGGGTAAATAATCAAGAGTCCAATCTGGCCAGTTTAGAAAGTCTCCTAGCTCTTCTAAAAGTGAAATTAAATTAAAACACTTGTAAACTTTAATTTTTATCATCATGTTTTTACTTAGGTAATTTCTTTCACTGCATATTTTCTTTAAGGAAAGAAATAAATATGAATAGTAAATTCTCCTACTTCCTTAAAGGTTAAAGACAAATATCAAAATAGTTAAATAAGCATGCAAATATTTCAAAGAAACTTACAGTCAAGTCTCTAAAAAGGTCAAAATTCAACATTGTCTTCTTGCTATTTTACAATTCACATATTTTCTTTTCATCTCATTTCAGTTTTACCTTGATGAGATTTGGGTCTTGCCCATAGAAAAACGGGGAGAACATCCACTTTGGAGGCACATGATAAGCACTTGGAAAAGATGTGTGAAGGATACAATGGAATTATATAGACCACAAGAAGTGGACCGTGATAATTAGAGTAATCCTTTAAATATCAGAGCTTCTTTATCCTTTCAACTCTTGCTCTATTTAAAAATGTAAATGACTCAACTTCCACCAGAAGGGAACAAAATATGAGCTAAAATAAACATGCAAATAGTGCTTTTATTTATTTTTATTTTTTTATTTTTTGGAACTGGAAATCGAACTCAGTACTTCGCACTTGCCAGGCAGGCACCGTGCTGCTGAGCTATATCCCCAGCCCCTACAAATAGTGCTTTAGAAATTAAATATTTTTTCATTTCTGTTTCTTTTGGCTTCCTGAGCTCATATCTGCAGTTACAATTTTTACAGGCGTGGCTGAATCCCCACTAAACAGAGTGTGAATTAACAGCAGTATAGCTAATCTCCAAAGTGTTTGCTACTCAAAGTAAAAGCAGCTTTTAATAACCTTGCCCTTCCCCCAGGAAAAAGAAGAGGAAATCATGTATCTCATTTAATGTTTAAAATAAAGAGGGTCACGGGGAAGGAAGGAATGCAGTCCATACCGTGGTGTCCTTCCTGAGAGAGGTTTTCGGGTCGCTCTGAAGAGGATGTAAGTGGTGATAACTGAGAACATTCCCCACATAGACAGGAACCGCCAGCAGTAAAGCTTTATGGTGAAGTACAAAGGGACGACCCACATCTGCAGCAAGGTCACCAGCTGTCCCAGAAATCAACAGAAAGTTCTCTTCAGTGACCGAGGCTCTGAATGGCACCTCCATTATTTTTTATTTTTCAGTACCGAGGGTGGGATCCCGGGCCCCCTGCATGCTATGGCCATGTCCTACGCCTGAGCCACACCCTGGCTTCAGCATCTCTGTCACATTCTGAATCTTCGCTGGGGGAAGCCACTTGGCCACCGCGTCTGCACCGTACAACTGGTTGACCGTCCAGCTGTACACTGTCTTTAGAGACGCCAGGTCACAGAGATGACGATGCAACCCCTGAAAAGTCAAATGCGAGATGATCCAGAATACCCGCCCCTGCCATTTCCTTTCATCTAGTTCAAATTTAAGCTGGGGCCTCGACAGGAAGTGATTTTGGATGCGTGAGCCTCACTGGAGGGGAAGTACTGGTAGCCACGCTGCCTCCCTGTGCTGCCTGCGGGGAGGGTGGGTGTAAATAAAACTCCGAGAGGGTGTGAAAGCACACTAAAACCACACCACATCGCACAGAGCCGACGGCTGCTGTTACCGCCCGCGCCTGTGTGAAAGTGCCTGCTCACGTCCGAGGAGGGAGCGACCAGAGAAGCTCCGGAGGCCCTGCTGCCTGCGGCGCAGGCGCACTCTGCAGCTTAGCTGCCCTGCACCTCACTGTCCTCATCTCAGCTCCCCTGCTGAGCCACTGGCTCCTTTTCCACACGGCCAGCTTGGGGCTCACATCCTGGCCTTCTCCTCTGCGCCTGAGCCCTGGTGACCCTCATTCAAGTCCAAGTAGCCTCCAGAAGGTTCTTTAACCTGGTTGGTTGCAATCTCACGGGCCGGGAGGGCAGACCGAGCTGATGGGCTGTAGGCACTTGACTGGACGTGGGTACTGAGGTACTCAGTAGTCCTACTTGCATTGCCAGAGTGGGCCGAATACCAGCTAGCTGCCTGTCCTGGGGAAAGCAGATGGGTAGCAGCAATAACCCTTGGTCTTTACGACTGATCTCGCTCCCACTAAGCAGCTATTACTTGCCTAGAATGAATACAAGGGGAGGGCAAAGAAGTTTGGTCGCAAAGCGTGGATGTTAATTTTGCGGTGCTCTGCTGAGGATTCTGCACCTGCACCTGATCTAGTGGTAGAGGCTCAGGACAGGTTCATTACCCTGCCAAGCACGTGGGAAGAGTTGTTAGAGTTCGCACGTCAGCCTGCGTATAAGGGACCCAGGCTGCTTGCTTTGTTTACCTTCTTAATCTTCATGATACAAGACGAAGGCTTAGAAAAAAGTCTCTGTACATTTTTGGCTCCTTAGAACTGTATGAGATCAATAATCAAAACTACTGGACAGGACTTGAAAATATAAGTGAGAGGGACAAAGTCAGGCTGTCTTCTTCCCATGTCGAGGAAGCGGCATCCCTGGCTCTTTATTCTTCTTTTACTGCTCCATCCTCAGGAGCTGATGATCTAAAGTCTTCTTCAAATTGCTCTAAATCACCTTTCAAGGAACATGAAGGTTGCTGTACATATGTGCTTCAACAGAAATATCCATGGAGGAAACAAATGTCTGGAGAGTTCAGGAAAGAAAAATCCTTTTTTAAATTTCAGGGGATATTTTCAGGGAAGAGGAAATTTTTTTTTATGTTTGCTTGAATTAGTTAGATATTCACTTCAGCTTTCCAAGCTATTTGGTGACTGTGGTCTAAGTTAATGAATGCGTTAGCACCTTCATTTATGACACTGAGATAAACAGATCCACAAGCAGGAGAAACCGGCTTGTGGAAGGAAGTGGAACAGCTTTCAGGAGGACCTGAAACTGCCTGACAGATAGCGAGGACTCCAAATATGCTGACATTAGTGCTCAAATTAGCAACTGTGACCCTCCGCTGTTGGTAATGTAAGTCGTATTGTAGCTTTTTAAAAATAATCTCATCAGCATTTTTGGTCATTCATTTCCCGTAGATGATTTTGGAGATGGCTCTCATAAATTATACAACTGCTGACTTTTAAAGGTGCTATACTTACGTTTTTGTTGTGCTATACTAGGTGAGTGCTCTACCACTGAGCTACGTCCCCAGCCCTAAGCTCATTGCTCCTGACACCAAAGGAGATGGACCCAGTGTACCCCATCTTTCACGGTCTGATCATCCGTCATCTGTACCTTTCATCTTTCTAAGAATTTTATTCCCTTTCACATTTCTGCCATAAAGTGATGAGGGTTGTTTTTTTAAATGAAAAGTTGAGTAAGTTGATTTTAATTCAGGGAAATTATTATGCTCTTATATTTTATACTTTAGATCATAAGCCTACATTTTTAACACCAATAAGTTCCTTTAAAGCCATGAAGTTGCAACCTAGGAGAGGTTGGAGCTACAGTTGGACCCTGTTTTTATAAAATGCGCTCTTTCCCTGTGGATCTTAAGAGTGAACCACTTCTAGAATATCCCAAACTTCCCTTGCTAGATTCCTGGATTGAATTAACAAAGAATAAGAATGCTCAATGTAGAGACACATTACTTTTTAAGATAGGTTTTAGAGATCAGAAATGAAACGAAAGCAAAAAAATCATTATAATGTATTATGTATGTAAATATTTAATTTCTTAACTGTCTTTAAAGTGTATGCCCAGTTCCATATTTTCTTGCCATGCAAAAAGAAACGTCAGAAATTTGCATTATGAATTCAATAATTATTCAAGAAGTCAATTTGAAATAAGGGTTACATTTCACAGCAATTTAAAACTTCTTTATCAATTTCCGGAGCAGTTAAAAACTTCTCATTTTTAATAGTAACCGCCACATATGAAATGAGAGGTGCCGTGCATCATAAAAAAGCACATGAACTATGTGCCATGAGGTACATACATGCAAAGGAAGAAGCCTGGCATCTGGAACATGTTAATAATGCTGGAGGGGTCACCATCTGAGCATGCGCATGTAAAACACATCTGCGGGGCTGGTGAAGGGCGGCCAGTGCGTCTGGATCGTATCACCCACGTCCTCCCCAGCCACACATCACAGCAGGAGGAATTTCCTGGTGAATCAGATGCTGCCCAAAGGTGCCATGCACATCATGAACATGAAAAGAACTGCAGATCAAGTCAACACAAAGATATTTGTCTAATTATGTAGCATTGATGAATGGGACAAGCAGTAGTTTAAAAAGCAAAGAGAAGAAGAGGAAGAAAGTTAGTTTTGTGATGCTCGTGTCCTTGGCACTGCAAATCCCCAGCTATTTGCAAACATTTGCGTGAATACAGATGGGGTGCAGGGGGAATAGAGGAATGCTGGGAGGTCAGCAGAGAAGTTTGAGGGGGGAATAAATGACTCCAGGAGTCACGCTGCTATCCACACAAAGGCAATGAAGGAAAGTATGGACATAAATCAAGCAAGGAAGTATGGAGTCTTGGCACATAAAAGACCCTTAGAAATGCAGTTCGTCCATATGTCTATCTCCAAATCAACCCAGACAGTTGTTTTTGTTATTTAACTCTTAAAGAACATTCTGTGTGGTTGTGTAGATACATGTGTAAATTGTGCATGTGTTTATGCCTTGCCTCATTTTAAAAAGATTTGAGCGGACACAATGTTTTATTGGCACAATAATATTTTCTATTGTTTTGTGGCTATTAATAGGCAGGAAGTTCGATTTACATAGAACAGTGTTTCAATCTGTGGCAAATTATTTGCCTGTGTATTGAGGCAAATTAATAGTATGTGTGAAACCCAAGTTCTGTGGAGGTAGTTCTCAGACCTTCAGTGGATTTGAAGAATAGGTTTGTGTTTTAGCACCTCCCTTTCTACTTTCTGCAGATATGTAAAAAATAGTTCATATACAAGAAGGGAGAGAGTGTATTGAAAAAATTTTTACTGTTAATTAAATGCTATTAAAAGCACTTGGAAATAATTTAACTTTGAAACTCTACCAATGGCTACATTGTACCATAATTACTGACTGGAAAGAGAAAAATTCACATATTTAGATGGTTGGTCTACACAGTACTAAAAACGTGATTATTTGGAACTATCCAGGTACTTGGTATTATCCCAAACAAAATAAGAATATTCCACTCTCTACCTGCGCTATTTGCTACCACATAGGAGCAACTAATGTTATTTTAAATTGTATTTTCTAAGTAAATCATTTCCTTGGCTTAGATATTACAATCATCTGCTCTGAGTTACACAGCTCCACAGAATACAATCTGTTTGGAAATGAGCAGAGCTGCTGAGTGAGGGTTTACAAGTAAGCGAGCAGTTACATGGACACTTCAGAAGGGGCACGTTTGTTAAAGCTGCATCTGAGCTTTGTGGATTAGCCCCTCGCTTCAGTATATGGTCTAAATCATGCATGAAATAATGTGAAAATAGTAATACTTTATATATAATAAATAGGACCTTCAGGATGTAAAGAATTTGTATACATAATAACACCTTCGGTATACAAAGCTATTCATGCATACTGTATTGTGTATGGACTCCTACGTGTTTTTTTCTAATTTCTTTTCCTTGGTGAAATGTAAACTCTCGCTCAAGCAGCAAGTCACATGGGCCCCCATCTGTCATCTATTGGCTTAACTGTTCCACGCTGGTATACACACACATATACACACACATCAGAATTGCTACACCTCTGCCCCGAGGGACAATTTTATCCACTACAGAAGAGCGGTGCTGACGTCCAGCTCCTTCTGCTTGAATCTTTGGACTCTGCGCATTTCCAAAGTTACTTAGGTCAGCAACCTCCCAACCTCTTCAGGGAAATTGTTTCATGCACTTGTAATACAGTCAGATCCTTTTGTCACAGTCTCCATTTCTCCATGGGATTCCCCAATCTGACTTTAAACATTTGCATACTTTGAGGTCCACTTTTTGTACCACACAGTTCTATGGGATTTGACATTCCCAAAATGTGGTATCACACAGACTAATTTCACTGTCATAAGAAAACCCTATTTCCACGTTCATCCTTCTCCTTCCCTCCAAAACACCCCAACCATGGATCATGGTACTGTATAGCTTT